ACAAGGCCGGAAGAGCTGTGGGAGGACGTCGAGAAAGCATGCACAAAGAAAGGAAGGTAAAGCAGATGTCAGAAGAGACTGGGAAACTTGCTCTTCATCACAGAGAAGACAAAGCCCATGGAAGAAAGGAGGAAGTCAAAGAGCGCAGCAGACAATGTCAAAGGGCAGCTCAGGAAGACAAAGTAAAATATTACAATCAAATGTGCAAAGTTCCTGCAGTTAGAAAGCCAAAAATGGGGAACACACTCAGCGTGCCTCACATTGAAAGAATTTAAGAAAAAATTCAAGCCTTGAGTTTCATTAGTAAGAGATTACATAGGCAAACTACTGAACCATGCAGCAAACATTAAAAGGAATACACAGAGTCACTGTACCAAAAAGAACGAGTCGACGAGTGACCCAACAGATTGCTCAAATTATAGAACAAGATCATTAATATCACCAGGTGGTGCCTTGAAATAAACAAACAAACAAACAAAACCTGTCAATTTCCACACTCTTCCATCCCCATCCCCAAAATAAAGCTATTTATTTTATTTCTCCAGCTTATTTTCCTCAAATCTAGGTTCGAAAAGAACTTTTTATTTGTTTTAAGCAACTTCAGAGTCCAACATGGTAGAACAATTCGCAGAACAATTTGTGCTCTGCTTTCTTATATAAACATCCTGCCCTTCAAACATCGCCCTGGATTCTGCTGTTAGAAATGATTGCCTTTGGTTTTGAGTGTTTTTAAAACTGTGTATACCCTCTGGAAGATTTTATCAGCTACTCCCTTCCTGTGAGTCCAACAGATCACAGCATAGGGGACGCTAATAAAGGCATGTTTGGAGGCCAGGGTGAGGAGTTCAAGGTTCCAAATGCCTGAGCCTCGGGACAAGGCCACGGGGCTCTGCCTTTTACATTGAGACCCATCTTCTCGTCAAGCTTCAGGGGGGCCACGCCCAAGAGGGTGGCCCTCCAACCTTCAGCTTTGGGCTCCCAAGACTGATCATCCCCACCCCACCCTCACCTGCCTCTAGAGCAGTGGTTCTCAACCATCCTAATGCCTCGACCCTTGCATACAGTTCCGCATGTGGTGGTGACCCCCAAAACCATAAAGTTATTTTCGTGGCTACTTCCTAACTGTACTCTGTGTCGCCACCCACAGGTGGAGAACCGCTGCTCTAGCGTCTCCAGTTCTGTCTGGGTACTGCTCGTCTTCCGTCCTTTTGGTTGTGGTTCCCTGGGTGTCGCATGTGATGCTGCCACGCAGGTCTCTGATGGGTTCGCGGTAAATAGATACATAACAACGCATTTGCCATCCCAACGTTCTCCACGTGGACAATTCAGGGGCACTTGTGCTCGTGTTGAACAACCATCGCTGTTACCTGTTTCCATTCCCCCCCGCCCCCTTAAAGATGCACAGTGGCTCCCGTCAAGTCGCTCTGGATTGTCCTGCAGCCTCCCTCTAGTTCAGGTATTTGCCCCCTCGCCTTGGATTGGTGGGCGATTCACTCACACACCTCTCTGCCTTAAATCAAATCCTGTCCAATCCCCATGGTCCTAGAATGATCATCGCTGTCACCCATAGCTCAGGAGGTGCCCAGATGTCTCTCTGTCCAAGGAGGCAAGACTTGAACTCCTCCCCAGGATGCTCACAGCTGCCCTCATCTGCCCCAGCTGGACCTTCTGTGTCTCTCCCTCAAGGGGCTGGGGAGGGAAACGAGGCACCCCACTAAGTGATAGGCTGCACAATTTCATTGAATCCCCACCCCCACCCTGTGGGAGGAGTCTTTACATCTTTAGTTTTCAAATGACGGGCCTTGAGTGGCAGGGCTGGTGAAGAATAATGAGTGCATCCTGGACTGCCAGAAGAAGGGTAATGAGCAATTCTGAGGAATTCTGAATGACTAATTCTGCCTTGATGTGCTTTGGACATGTTATCTGGAGGGATTTGGCACTGGAGAGGGACATTAAAGCCCCAAAACCCAAACTCGCTGGCATCGAGTAGATGCCGACGCATGGTTACCCTGTAGGACAGGGTAGATCTGTCCCTGTGCTTTGGCGACCCTGTGTCTCTTCACAGGAGTAGAAAGCTCATCATTCTCCCTCCGAGCGGCTGTCATTTCGAACTGCTGACCTTGTGGTTAGCAACCCAGCGAGTAACCACCAGGCCTCCAGGTCTCCAGACTTGAACCCAGTACTTTTAAATTGTCTGGACACATAGCACCGAAGGTGTTTGCTATAGTGACATTGGCATTACAGTAGTGAAAATGGGGAGATGGTGGCTTGAATACATGTTAGTAAGTTGGGATTTGATAGACTTGGTTTCATGTAGTTATTTGCCTCCTAGAACCTTTTTCTAGAGAACACCTAATAATGTCACACAGTTTGGGGAGGGCAGTGTGGCTCTGTTCCCCACAATCTCCACTCTCTTACTGCTGGGCACCTTCCACTTGTTGCCCCTGCAGCCCACAGTTGTAGCCTGCACGCACACACACACACACACACACACACACACAGCCTGTACACACACTGGCACACACGTTTGTGCAAGCCCCATGTATTCTCTCGCTCGCTCCTCTTGCTTGTCTCTCAGCAGCATTGAGTGCTGGTCTCTGTGTGACCGCTGTTGTGTAAGATAGGGATTGGGGCTCTCAGAGTGGATGCCGAGGCAGGCAGATTGGGAGATTCCGGATTTGAGAAGGTGGCCCGCAGGGATGGAGGCCTACGCCCAGTCCTTGTTCCTTGCAAGCGCGTCCTGTTGCCCGAGGAAATGGCCCATGCTGCAGACACGCGGGGCCTGGGAGGTGGGAGTGACCATCTGAAGGCATGCCCAGTGCTTGCAGCTTCTTGGATCTGTGGGCCTCCGTCAGCCTTGGTCAGCGTGGCTGAGCAAGTGGGCCCTGGGGACAGTCCCACTAATGTTCCAAGGGAGTGTCCGACTCACATTTCTGGAAAGACATTTCTGGAATGGCTCCGCTGAGGGAATGCAGAGGTGGGAAAGACGACTATAAGCCAGCCTTTCCTGAGACTCTGCCAGGCCCCACCCTGTAAGGTGCCACATGGATGCGTGTGTGTGTGTGTGTGTGTGTGTGTGCGTGTGTGTGTGTGCGCGCGCGCGTGTGCATGTGCGTGTGCGTGTGTGTGTGTGTGTGTGTGTGTGTGGATGCCCAGGTCACAGTTAGGAAGCAGCAGGGCAACTGGAAGCTCTCACCGCTGGCCACTCTGTCCCTAACCCTGGCCTCTGGGGATCAGAGAAGGGTGGGAAGACAGGCAAGACTAGAACTAAATGCCCAGGAATAAGTCAGGATGCCCCCTGCCCCAAGCCACCATCAAGTCCATCCTGAATTATGGGGACCCCACGTACGTCCCAGGGGAACTGTGCTCCAGGGTGCCATCACAGGCTGATCTCCAGGCCGTTCCTCCATGGCCCCAAACTTTGGGGTTAGCAGTCAGGTGCATCCAGGTGGTAGCCCTGGGTTTGCATCCCTCATGGAGCCTGGCTGGAGCTGAGGGTCACAGAGCTACCCCCAATTGTGTGTGGGGTGGAGTAGGGGGTACCAGTATTGGGGTGCCAGTATTGCAAACCGGTCATCCTGCCCTCATGTCCAAACCTCCCATTCCCTAACGCCCAGATCACCTCCTCGAGCCCAAATCTGCCAGCCCCACATCACCCCCACCCCCAATCAAATACCCAGAGAACTGTTTTTCTCCACCCCGTGCAAAGCTCTTTGTGCACGATTGAAGTCATTCCCACTAAAGCAAGTCATTGTTTTCTGAATGACCCATGGCTCAATCCTTCCTTGGCAGGCACATTTGCATGTTAAGTAGAGCGCTTGGACAAACAAAATTCATCTTTAATTGGTAGAATAAGGGGGCAATTGTTTTAGGGGAAGTGGGGTAGACTTTCCCAGGCTCTAGCCTGCTCACCAGGCCCTCCCTTACCGCCCTCCTACCGCCCCTCGACTCATCTGGGTGGAGCTGGGATGCCCAAGGGCAGTGTATGCCGGGGGAGGAGGGGGAAGAGGAACTGGGTGGCCTCTAAGGCTCGTCCAACTCCCAAATGCTGCCGTTCTCAAATACCACAATCACATGCATTACAGATGCATTTTCAAATGTTAATAATTAATGGGAATGTTCATGTATCATATTTCGCATGACAGTCTATGATGGAAATGGCCCCAGGAGAGAGGATGGGAGAGGGAGATTGAGGAGCAAACAAGAGGGGAAACTGGGAACATTGCAGGGCGGGCTGGGAGAGCAGTGCCCATAGTCCCAGGAGAGTTGGTTTCGTTCCGTCTCAGAAGAGTGCATGTAAGTACGTGAGTGTGGATGAGATACTGTATGTACACAAGTGTGCATATGTGAGTGTGCAAAAAGCCAAAACACAACGAAACACATTCAGGGCCCTAGCGTTGATTCCGGCTGATAGCCTTCCTATAGGACAGAGTGGACTGGCCTCTGTGGGCTTCGGAGGCTGTAAATCTTGACGGGAACAGAAAGCCTCATCTTTCTCCCTTGGAGCAGCTGTTAGTTGGAGTTTATTTGGTGCAAAATGGTTTTTGGAAATCTATGCAGAGTTTTTTTTTTTTTTAAATAATACACATTTTCCATGAACTTTCTGAAGATCTTTCGTGTGTGTGTGTGTGTGTGTGTGTGTGTGTGTGTGTGTGTACACAAACAACAGTAGTAATGTGGGGCACCTTTATGTAAACTCTCACTTGTGGCAGACTTACTCCTCAATGTTCCTCTATGTCAGGGCACCATGAAAACATGCCAGTTTGCTACCTGCCCTGTGCATCTACCGCCACACCTGGCCCCAAGTAAAAGCCACGAAATGGGAATGGCAAATGTCTTGGAAGTTGACAGGAGGGAAGACTAAGCCCCTGGCACCCTAGGGGAGGGACCAACCTCAATTTGTTCCAACTGCACGCTGTGCTGCCCCCAGCTCCGGCCCCCGGGTCTCCTTGGGTTGAGCAGGAAGGTTTGCTCACACGTGTTTCTCATTCTCATTCCAGGTGTGTGTGGCTGCTGTGGCGCCCTCCGCCCCAGGTACAAAAGGCTGGTTGACAACATATTCCCTGAAGACCCAGAGGTAGGTCATACGTGACGTCTGCCCAATGCCACTGGCACCACAGTCGCACCACCCAGGCTGGGCTCTCTTGATGCCTCTGGCCTGACACGCTGTGGCTTTGGCCACAGTCCCATCCAGGGTGAGAGACTCTTGGGGCTGGGACAATGAGACCGTTTGGATCACCCTGAAGTCAGCCTGCAGAGGGCAGCTGGAATTTGCTGTGGCATGCTTTGCACCAACAGTGTACAATAAGGCATCCTTCTCATTTATATCTCTCTGGGCGATAGTTTCTTCAAGCTACTGACTCTCTTGATGGTAATATTTCCCTGCTGTTTAGTGTGAGCACTCTCCTGTCTTGGATGTCGGCTCAGGATCCATGACTTTCTCCGGGTGCCCTGTGGTGGCTGCCAGCTGTCTGAGTGTGTGCTTACAGAACATCTGTTTTCGCGGCTGCCTACCTAGTCCCTCCACCAGCCAGGGTGCCACTCAACCACCAGGCTGCATTGATTGATTGATTGATTGATCATATATTAAAATGAAAATATATTTTTCCTTCCCACCCCACTTTTCCTTCCTCTGTTTCTTGGCCTTCACACAGCCTTCAGAGTCTATGTAATTTGGTGTGAAACTGTTTTCCTTTTCTTTTATGGTAGTGGTGTCATGTGGTATTTGTCTTTCTGAGATTGAGCATCATGTCTTCCAAATTTGTCCACACCATGAGGTCTTTGACAGTTTCATTATTGTTTCTCTGGAGATGCATACTATTCCATTGTATGTACGTGCCAGAATTAATCTAGCTGTTCCTCCACAGATGGGCATCTTAGTTGTTTCTACCTTTTTGGTAATAAACATGGGCGTGACTATATGTGTTTATGTTTTATTCTTTGGGATGTACCACGCGGAGAGATTACTGGGCCATAAAGAGTTTCTGTTCATATTTGCTTAAGGACGCTCCATACTGTTTTCTGTAGTGGCTGTATAATGCTTCATCCCGACTAGCAGTGTCTAAATGGTCCCATCTCTCCACAGCCTCACCAGCATTTGCTGTTCTCTGTTTTTAGAAGTGTTTTTAATTTGGCTCCCAGTATTGGTATGAGTTGTTTTAATTTGGATTTCCCTTATAGCTAATGATTGAGAGCATTTCTTCATATGTTTTTTTGGCTGCCTGGATGTCATTTGGGGGGAATTTCCTATTTATGTCTTCTGTCCATTTGTTAATTGGATGATTTGTGCTTTCCATATGAAAGTGCTGCTGTGCTCTACAGAATTTTAAGATTAGTCCTTTATCTGATATATCACTGCCAAAATGTTTTTTCCCAATTTGTGGGTTCTGTTTTTACTGTTTGATGAAGATTTTTGATGTACATAAATGTGTTTTTAAGAGGTCCCACCCCACATTGGAGACAGGGCATGGTGCCCCAACAGGCTAGACTGGAAAACACAAGTTTTTCTTGCTTTGTATATTCTAATTTGTTCTTCGTCAGTGGATTGATGTTGTTGCTGTTTTGTTGTACA